ATGTACTTATTTTACTGTTTTTTTTTTTTCGGGATCTACTGGGACAGTGATAAAGATCTACAAGTCGATCGCGATCGACGGGTTGGCGACCACTGCTTTATTATGATTTTTAAATGGGTTTAATATATAATGCAGCATTGGAAAATGGTTTAATAATGTGTTTCATGGATTCTCGTCTGTGGAATGCACCACTTCCGGTATTTTGCCGGTTACTCGACACGGGCAAAATGCAATCGAGGATTTTTTTTAATCAAGCACTCTAATTGAATCGAGGAATTGTGACAGCCCTACTGTGAGTCTGAGTTACTTTTAACATTCATCTCTGAACAATGTGCACCATTCATATTTGTAAATCATTTATAAACTTCCGCCAACACAGGAGAATACATCATCTTTCCAAATATGCTAACAGTTCATCGCGACTTCAAAATAAAAGTTTAAATCCTCGCTCTGAGTTTGCATGTTTTGATGTCCACATGTTCTTGCTCAAGAAATGAAAGTGACTGTAGCATTTCTATCATAAAAAGTGGCCAAATATTACAGATTAAGTTGACATTTGAATTAAATATTGTTTAGTCAATATTAAACCAGGATTAGATTGCGCTGTAAAGTGTAAAAACAATCTTCAGGCCATTGGTGCCCTCTGCATGCATTTGATAAAATACATAATGTACATAAGTTATGATTATATTGTTTTATTACATTATGTATTTTGACTATTTTGTTCAACAAAACCATATGATTGCTTGCTTTTAAAATTTTATTTGAACCAATAATTATTGCCTCTATTATGTATTTTAAATCATTTTAAAGTTTATTGTTCACTTAGGTCTATTTTTATTACCACAAAAATGATCCGATTACTCAATTAATCATCAGAATAATCGACTGATAACTCTATTACCAAAATAATCGTTAGTGACAGCCCTATTATGAGTACAATTAATATAACTATTAGTATTCATATATTTTATGTCAAAATTCAGGATTTAGGTCTGTAACTTCACGAAACAAGGTGTTGGGGAAAAGACAAAAATAACTGCAGTACCACTTGTGGTAGCCTCTTGGTGTGTCATGTGATTGGTGAATGTCAGACCACCTAAATTGTTTTAACTCTCTGATTGGTTGATTGCAAATTTGAATCTTGTAAAAAGTAACTGTTGTGAATTTCAGAGAAGTGGAAAAGTGTGACTTGTTTAGTGCCACAATAAAATAAAACACTTGAGAATAAAATTATAATGTTTGAATTAGGGGTGCTCCGATTGATCGGCTATCGATCACTATCGGCCGATAAGCGCTTTGGGATGATTGATCGGCGGTCTCTACCGATCTCAAAAAAACGATCTCAAGCGAATGACGTGCCTGCCGTGAGAGGTTTGGCACGACATGCAGCAGCACCGTCTCGGTCTCTGTCCGGCGCGGGTGAAATCATTATAATGCTGAAGGTGAGGTACTCACCTTCATATTTCTTAAATAACTTATAAAGTAATTTGAAAACCTTGTGTGAGACGTAATTTCACAAACAGCGTGAGTGAATCACCGCGCGCGC